TATGGTCTCAATCTCTAGTTTCAAGTCTTCTTCAATACAGCATGATGTTCATTTAGTACATTATGGTCCATTTAGAGTCACACAGACCATAAAGCAGGGGATGCTTTAGGGCGGGGCTACACAGTGATTGCTCTCAGACCAGGCTAGCTGTTTCCAGTCTTTATGCTAAGCTAAGCTAACCAGCTGCTGGCCCTAGCTTCATATTTAGCTTGCAGACATGGAATGGATTCAATCTGACGACTTCCTGTTGTTCACTGTGGTTGTTTTAAGAGTCACATAACAGCAACCGTGTGACAGACTGTTTATATTAGTGTGTGTGTGTGTGTGTGTGTGTGAGAGAGTGTGTGTTTCACACCCAAGGGAAGGATCGTAACACACCCCGAGAGGGCTGAAATGCCAAACAAGTGTAGTCACCCATCTGAAGCACACACACACACACACACACACACACACACATACAGAGACACACACATATGCACACACACACATGTGTGTGTGTTATTTTTCTTCAATGATTCAGGACGTGACAGCTGTTAGGGAGCATACAGAGTGCTGTGTGTGTGTGTGTGTGCGTGTGTGTGTGTGTGTGTGTGTGAGAGATGATTGACACCTGATCACTCGCGTACCGCCACACTTGTTTTATGGAGCTTTCTACAATCACATCACATGATCTTCATCCGCATCATTTGAACAGCCGTCGTGGAAAAAACTAAAAGTTCTCATTAGTCCTGCTCTCACCTGTCCCTCGTTTACCTTTCTGTCACCTGTCCCTCGTTAACTCTGCTGTCACCTGTCCCTCGTTTACCTCTCTGCAGGGGCGTTTGTAGGATTCAAAGAAAGGGGGGGCTTAGCCCCAAGGGGAGCGGTATGTTAGCGCGCGGCAATTTTTTTTGGGGCCTATTTGGGGTCGTGGATATCCATTGTTTCAGACAGTTCATAGATCGGTTCAATCAGAAAGAGTGTGATTTTGCTCTGTAGTCTTGCTTGCATTCAGTATATGATAACACAAGAGTCAGAACTTCAGGGTCATAGTGAAATTTGACAACACAAATATGAACTTTTCTCAAATAAAGAGAGAGAAATAATTTTCCTGCTTGTAAAGGAAAGACAGATAAACAAGCTTTCATATCCGCGTCACTCCCAAATCCTGATTCTTAAAGGGACCGCACACAATGGATGGAGAATGGACCTGACAGTGTCAACTTTATATCGTTGAGTATGATGATAGGCTGTTGGATCGTAATTTGAAGGGGGAGAAAACATGCAAACCAGAACGCACACACATATGTAGCATGTTAGAGTTATAAATAACTTGTCCATGTGAGAAACACTAGTTTAATTTAATGACATCACCAAAATAAAAAAATAAAAAAGTATCTCTGATACATTGATGTAAAATCTCAACTCATTCAATTAAAGGATTTTTTTACTACTTTTAGCTACATTTAGCTGATCATTCTTTTTGAAAGCAGGACTTTTACTTGTGGAGGATTCTCAGTGTTGTATTAGTACTTCTACTACTAGAGGGTTCCTTTATGAAGAGAACTACTTCAGAGCTTCAGGAAATCAAAAACTACTTCTATAAATAAGTCCATTCACACCTCTTCACTCTCCCTCCATCCTCCTCCCGTCTCTCCCTCCATCACTCCTTCCCTCTCTGTCCGTCCATGTCTCTCACACCCAGTGTGTCCCTGCAGTCCAGTTAGATTCCAGTACAGTGAGGGGGGGGGGGGAGGGACGAGGGAGAGAGAGAGAGAGAGAGAGAGAGAGAGAGAGAGAGAGAGAGGGAGAGAGGGAATAAAAGATCAGATTTACTGACAGATTTACAGTCGGAGTTTCACATGTAAAACATTTATCTCTGCTGACACACACACACACACACACACACACACTAACTAACACACACACACACACACACACACACTCATCATCCACTCAGTGAGGCTGACGGACGCTCAGTTGAACCTCTGAAGGTTTGTTTCGTCTTTTTCAGAGTTTTTAGTCTAAAATCCAAAACATATTTCAAATCAAATGTCATTTTTTATCTTTCAATGTTTAAAGTTCATTGATTTAGTCTTCTGCACTGTTTTCTTCACAGTCAGTGGCTTGTTGGTAACAGCTTTAATTATGAAACTAAAAAAGTATTGATCGTTAGTGTTTACACAGTCCAGTGTGGAGTTATTATTATTATTATTATTATGTTCAGATGGATTTAATTACATGTTATTAGGATTCAATTAGAATATAAAATATTTAGAACATATAGTTATATTTTGTTGGAATTTCATGCCTAACTGCAAAGCTGCTTTAAAAAGTAAATATTGTGTTATGATTATACCATGATATAGAAAGTATACGATATGAAAGTATCATGTCAATGAAATCAAATCAAAATAAGTAGTAATATCAGTGTGTAAAGTATCTCGATACATTTACTGTTTACTTCTGTACAACAGTTCAATTTCAGGTTCTCAATGTAATTATTATCATTTCATATAGTTTCACCATATTTATCGGCTGTAGATGTTTTACATGAACCAGTTATAGAATATAATACATCTTTGTACTTTTAACTACCTAACTGATGTTGCCTTCAGTAACGTGCTGTTTATTGTTGATACTTTAATACATGGTGTTGCATATTTTGAATATTTGAATACATGATGAGGTATTCAGTAAATGTAAGTCAAAGTACTTAAGTAGAGGATCTGAGTGGTATCTTTGGTAGTACTTCAAGTAACATAACCTCAGTACAATAACGCTCTGCAGTACACATGTATGTTAGGGTTGTACTCAGTACACGATGACATCACGGTGTAAAGGAGCAGCAGAGTTTAACCCTTTAAACCGGCAGGGGGCAGTGAAACACAGCTGAAGCTGCTCTTTAATCTTTATGTTTAATGTTCATGTTGTTCCAGATGAACGTGGCAAAGATCCACGACGGACTGCACATCAAGACGTTCTGGGAGAAGAAGATCAACAGCGGCAGTCAACATGCTGAGAGCGAAGAGAAGAGGAAGAACACGAGCGCTCTGAAGAAGTACGAAACCACTCAGCTACACAGCAGCAAGTAGAAGAAAACTACGTTTAATACACTTTACCTGTCTCCCAGTAGAAGAAAACTACATTTAATACACTTTACCGGTCTCCCAGTAGAAGAAAACTACGTTTAATACACTTTACCGGTCTCGCAGTAGAAGACAACTACGTTTAATACACTTTACCGGTCTCGCAGTAGAAGAAAACTACGTTTAATACACTTTACCGGTCTCGCAGTAGAAGAATACTACGTTTAATACACTTTACCAGTCTCGCAGTAGAAGAAAACTACGTTTAATACACTTTACCAGTCTCACAGTAGAAGAATACTACGTTTAATACACTTTACCAGTCTCACAGTAGAAGAATACTACGTTTAATACACTTTACCAGTCTCACAGTAGAAGAAAACTACGTTTAATACACTCGGGATGTTGGGTCTGAGACGTTTACGCTGTCCTCAGAGAGACAAGTAAAAGTCCTGCAATGAAAATATTACTCAAGCACAGGTATTTTAGCAGCAGCATTTACTTTAATCATAAAAGATATAAGTACTCATAATGCTGAGAATGACCTCTGTGACTGTGTTTATCAATTGGATTAATACGACTGATGCGTTCTGGGTAGTTTTATATATTCTATATATGATGCACCTTAAAGACGCGATACATTGTTTTCATGTTTTAAAGGTTCATCATATGTTTCTAATGTGAATCTTCATCTGCAGAGTAACTCTGTAGTTGAGCAGAAGTTTGAAGGAGCAGAAAATGGAAATACTGAAGTAAAGTACAAGTACCTCAACATCTGCTGTGTGTGTTTTCCGACGAAGGTCCAGCAACACGGGACAATTTCTCCTCCTAACATGAATACAGTCCTTTCAAAATAAACTTCTGTCGTCACAGTAAACTCAGGTTTAGACTACAAAACTACGTAGTTTTAGGAAAAGATGGTGGTTTTGGTTAAAATAACGGTTACAGACGAACGTTGACTTTCACACGGGTCAGGCTTTAAAGGTTGATGTTTGTTGGACTTATCCACGTCCCCTCTCACCTGCCATTGGTGTGCTTCTGCAGTCTTTATACTTCCCTTTGATCATTTCATGGATCTCATACAAAATAATTTTGTGGGATATCTACGAATTATGGCGCGTTATTTTTCGTAGCTTTTGCTCCGGATGCTGCTCACTGACCTCATGCTTCTCCTGAGTCCTCCAACTGTCACCTCCTCAGAGGGTCTTTCTTCCTTAAAATGGTCCTTTTATCACCCAACGATGTCCCCAATCAAGTCTCCACTGGGTTTGAGAGCAGCAGTAAACTCCATCAGAAGAGCTTGTCAGACGGATTCTTTTAGAGATCTTCACAGACTTCTCTGCCAATGTTTGATTGTTTTAAACACACGTCAAATGTTTGGACCACTTCCCAACAGCTACCCGGGAGATTCCACTGCCATAGAGCAAAATGGCCGCCATTGAGAATATGGTGAATACCCCAACCTCAACCTCCTGGTGCCCACCTACAAGCTCCCCTCCCAGGTCTGGATCGAGTAGGAGACCATCTGGGCAAAGTGTCTCTTTCCCATAGACTGTCTATGAGAAGTGGACGTAGTCGTCGTGATGTCACTCAGTGGTTTGTGGATGTTTTGAAGCCTCTCGCCATCTTGGCTTTTTTGCAACCAGTGAACAGGAAGTGACCATATCTGGACTGAGGAGGAGTGACATAGAGACGTCGTACACGTCTCTGGTAGAGACCTGTCAATCACCGTGTAGCCCCGCCCTAAAGCATCCCCTGCTTTATGGTCTGTGTGACTCTAAATGGACCATAATGTACTAAATGAACATCATGCTGTGTTGAAGAAGACCTGAAACTAGAGATTGAGACCATAAACTCATGTTTACAATGTTTACTGAGGTAATAAATCAAGAGAGAAGTAGAGTCATTTTCTCATAGACTTCTATACAACCAGAGGAGTCGCCCCCTGGTGGACACTAGAGAGAATGCAGCTTTAACACATGAAGCTCTGACTTCTCTTTAGAGAACCGGAGGTTGATGACTGTGTTGAAACTTCTGTAGTGTACTGGTTGAGGTGGGAGAATAAACATATCATGATTTAGTCAAAGTATTCATAACGGTGTTGAATGGATCAGTGATGTTTTTGATCTCTTGCCTCGTCTTAATTACTTCCTGATTGATTGTTGTGTGTTCAGTCTCTGCGTCGTGTGGGGAAAGACACCACAGTGCTGCTGATCTGTGTCACCGTGTTCCTGTCCTATCTACCTGAGGCCGGACAGTACTCCAGCTTCTTCCTCTACCTGAGACAGGTCTCTCTCACACGCACGCATGCACGCACGCACGCACGCACAGACACACAGACACGGACGGAATCATGTTGTCGTCATGTGTTCTAGGTGATTGAGTTTACTCCTGCAGCCATCGCTGCCTTCATCGCCATGGTGGGAATCCTCTCCATCATCGCTCAGGTACACAAACAACCAGCCGGCTGTTTCCTGTTCCTGTTTCCTGTTTTTAAAGTGTTCAGATTCAACAAAGTCACAACAACACTAACTAACTAACCGAGGCAGCAGTGTTCTGAGAGGTTAAATAGCTGTTTATATGAATGGAGTTCAAAGATGAAATGATGAATAGATTGTGTGTGTGTGTGTGTGTGTGTGTGTGTGTGTGTGTGTGTGTGTGTGTGTGTGTGTGTGTGTGTGTGTGTGTGTGTGTGTGTGTGTGTGTGTGTGTGTGTGTGTGTGTGTGTGTGTGTGTGTGTGTGTGTGTGTGTGTGTGTGTGTGTGTGTGTGTGCGCTCACTGTGTTTGGGTTGATCAGGTGTGTGTGTGTGTGTGTGCTCACTGTGTTTGGGTTGATCAGGTGTGTGTGTGTGTGTGTGTGTGTGTGTGTGTGTGTGTGTGTGTGTGTCAGACTCTGTTCCTCAGTGTCCTCATGAGGACCATAGGTAATAAGAACACGGTTCTTCTGGGTCTGGGCTTCCAGCTCTTCCAGCTGGCCTGGTACGGCTTCGGCTCTGAGCCGTGGTGAGTCCACCCTCATATAAATGATGTTATTATTATTATACATTCATTGTTGGTAACAGATCATAGTCTGACCTCAATGTGTTTGTGTCTCAGGATGATGTGGGCAGCAGGAACAGTAGCAGCCATGTCCTCCATCACTTTCCCAGCAGTCTCTGCTCTGGTGTCACACTGTGCATCATCTGACCAGCAAGGTCTGTCTGTCACCTGTCTGTCTGTCACCTGTCTGTCTGTCACCTGTCTGTCTGTCACCTGTCTGTCTGTCACCTGTCTGTCTGTCACCTGTCTGTCTGTCTGTCTGTTGTCTGTCGTCTGTCTGTGAAAAGGAGAACAGGAATCATCTCTTTTGTGGTGTTCTGACAATTTTTCTGCAATAGTTTTTATTTTGAAGATTTCTGGTGTGTGTGTGTGTGTGTGTGTGTGTGTGTTTCCAGGTGTGGCCCAGGGGATGATCACAGGTATCAGAGGTCTCTGTAACGGTTTGGGTCCGGCTCTGTACGGCTTCATCTTCTTCCTCTTCAACGTGGAGCTGAACGACATGCAGCCGGTGGCAGGAAGACCCCCACAGAGAGCAGAGGTACACACACACACACACACGCACAGGTGTTTTTCAAAATAAAAGTATAATCTCCGTCTCTCTGCAGAAGTCGATGATCCCCGGTCCTCCCTTCCTGTTCGGAGCGTGTGCCGTCCTATTCGCTCTCCTCGTCGCAGTCTTCATCCCCGATCAGCACCGATCGGCCGACGTCAAGACCTGCAAGACCGGCGCCTCCTCCTCCGCACACGCTCAGAGCGCCGGCCCTCTGGCCACGCCCACCAGCGACGCGGAGGACATCGAGCCGCTCTTGCAGGACAGCAGCTTGTGACAGGACAGCCGGCCAATCGCATTGCAGAGGCTGTGAGCACCGACTACTAGTCCCGCCCACCTTTCAGAATAAACCGGGGTTTTTTTATTCAGCTTTTTATTTTTTTATTTCTTCAGACTGTTCAGATAAAAGATCGTTAGGCAGCAAACTCACTGACGAGCTTTCATCCATTCATACATTTACTGACTCGTGTCCATCGAACACATTAATATTAACATATTAAAGATCTGCTCCTACAAAGTAAAAGCGTTATGAATCAACAGCAGAACTGTCAGTAATACAACATATCCTGCTCAGGTGTGTTTGAATGAATAATAACAATAAGAACTATTTAATAACGTCACGATGTTCAGCTCTTTAAATCACAATTATTTACTTTTTATAAACATTTCTACACGACGTTAGAATTCTAAATCGCATTCAGATGAAGATGCTCCACTGATATTATTATTATTATTATTATTATTATTATATTATATATTATATATTAGTGTTATTTTACTGTTGGTGGCTGAAGGATTGTTTCAGATATCTCAGAACATTTCAGTGTTTTTATGCAGAGAAATATTCACTTCAATGTTTAAAAAACAAAAAGGCTCAACTGACTAATGACATTTATTAAAGAACGTTTGATATAAAAATGTTCTCACTCATTTAAACTCTTGAATCACTTTATTATAACTGAGGATTTTATTGTGAACGTAAATAAAATGTCATTCGTTACTCGATGAACATTTTAACCAGTTCAGGTCTTTAGCTCCTCGACCTGCAGATGAGTGACGGGGAAGTACTCTAGCGTCTGAAGCACTCTAGCGTCTGAAGCACTCTAGCGTCTGAAGCACTCTAGCGTCTGAAGCACTCTAGCGTCTGAAGCACTCTAGCGTCTGAAGCACTCCAGCGTCTGAAGCACTCTAGCGTCTGAAGCACTCCAGCGTCTGAAGCACAACGCACCATACAAAACATTCTGCTCACGTTTTTTCCAAAGCCGTCAGTCTGGTTGCCGTCTACACTCTCTGGAGTGAGTCTGCTGCACCGGCTGTGACGTCGTCGTCGTCGTCGTCGTCCTCCTGCCGCGTGTTGTTTCATATCGAGGCCGACGAAACAGAACCGTAGACGTGTTCAGGGAATGAAGTCTTTAGGGGCGCTTGATACGAGCCGGGGGCACGATTTCATATTCTCTACTTCCTGTTGGAGGTGAGCGGTTCTTACAGTTAAACGTCTTCCTTGTTCCCTCTCGGCTGCACCAATGATGGATAAAACAAGCGCCCCCCCACAGAGGCCTTGAAGAAGGAAACGCTGCTCGAGACACGTTTCATGGATCTCAAACATTAAACCCACCGGATCAGTTTAAATCACAAGGACTGAATCCTGCTCACTGATTGGTCGGTTTTCCTCCATCACGTCCTCGGGGCTCATTTATCTCACGGATCATATTTCATATCAGATCTCTCGTCTCTTCTTCTGTTCACATACTTGAAGTCTGTCGGATTATTTTAAAGCTCTGACATTAAAGAAAGTGCTCCTCCACTACCCCCCCCCCCCCACCCCCCACCTGCTGCTGCTCCAGTAGACTGAATCAAGCGCTCCTGAGTTGCTGGTGTAGTTTGTGACTCTGTTTGGAGAGTCGGAGCTTTTATTCACAACCAAAAGGTGCCATGTTTTTATTTCTCACATGTTTTTGAGGGGCGGAGCCTATTCCTCCCTCATCAGTACTGTATCAGTATAAAGAACCCCAGTGCATGCTGGGAGCAGCTGTTTGCTTTTCTTTTCACATTCGTTTTTCTTTATTCCAGACAACGTTAAAATAGTTAAAATGTGTTAAATTTATTTTTTAAAGTTCTGCAAAAGCTTTGTACTATAAAGTAGCATTAAAAACCTGTCTCTGGTGGTGCGTTCAAGGACACGCCGACAGCTAAGAACCTGCTTCATTTTCATTTTTCTCTATGAAAATGAGCTGATAAACATGTACATCTCTCTGAGCCACGGTAGGTCCTTGAACACACTAACATGGAGTCATTTAGTAGTTTCTTCCTCACATTCATGATGATAATTAAACGTTGAGCGGTGGAACGGGAGCCGAAACCTCCGTTATCGAACGAAACAGGAGTTTGAACCGTTACTGATGTTCTGTCACTTTAAGGCTCAGACGTCCTCCGTTATGTGCTGCATTCAGGTTACATCGATCGGTGGGACATCCTGGTTTCTGACAGCGGGAGCTGTCTGTTACAGTCTCAGAAGAGAAGTCACACAAGTTACCAAAACCAAATCAGTTTCTAGTTTGTTTTTACTTTTAGTCACACGGCTCCCGCTTTTAGTTTTTTCTCCGTGGTGCCTTGAATGCAGCATCGACCTGATGATGATGACGGTGTAGCTTCATCATGAAGCACAATCACCGATTACTGACTCACGTCTGGAGAAATCCTTGAATTGTTATCTTTAATGTAACCAAACGTTAACTCTCTAGAGATGATGTCACAGACGGACAGTATATTTTTCTACAGTCAATAGTTGTGACTCCATATCCCAGAATGCACCAGTGTTATTAACAAGCATTCCTGTTTTGTTCAGCTCCTCCGGTCTTTATTATGTCTCTGCTGCGTTCAAGTCCCGTTGGAAAGTTCATCACTCCTCCAGACAACGCGTGGCGTTTCCTACATTTTTAGAAACCAGAGAAGAAGAATTCAAACATTGAGTTTACGGGTTGTCGACGCTTTTTAAACTTAAAAATAGAATAAACGGAGACTTCCTCGTGTAATAATGTTTATTTAATAATTATATAAAAAATTACATTACAGATTACATTTTTCCTTATTAAACGTTAAATCTTTTGGATTTCTTTGGTTCAAATTCATTTTTAACGGGTTTATTTGATCTTCGTGTTTGATTCAAAGTTCTTTGAATGTCGTTTTATATTTTTTTTATTCTCTGATGTTAAAAGTAAAGTTGATTCATTGAGCCTCAGTTCTTCATCTCTTGGATTAAAAGTGTTTTTCGTCGATGTAAACATGGAGGAGCTCAACTTTCCGACGGGCCGTGAAGTGACAACATGGCCGCCAGTTCAAACACACAGGTGAAGCTTTTTAAACGGCTTGTTACTGAACACAGATAATGTCCATTTTAGAAAATGATGATTATTATTAGAACAGAAACGTATGCAGTCAAACATTCCTCCTCTTCCTCTCCTCCTCTTCCTCCTGGAGCAGAACTTTATCTGACTGCTGCTCTGTACTTCTGAACGTGCCTCTCATCATTCTTCATCTTCATGTTTTTATAGAGAAGCAGAAAGACGCTGAATGACGTCTTTGTTGTATTTGCTTTCTTTTATCTTGAGAACATCATTTTGAATAATATCTAATAATCAGTATAATGATGATAATAAAGAGAAATGTATGAAATTTGAAACCTGGACGTGTTTGTTTTTATTTGAGTTCTTTGATTTTCGGAGATATTTGTATTTAATATAATTGTTTATTTGCTTAAATATTTGGATATTTGCTTCCAGGCAAATCGGACGAAAACATTCTCACAACCGTTTATTATTTAAAAACGTATCGGAGTAATAACCGAATAATTCAACAACAAACATACAAGCTCTGAATTTATACATTTTATTGCAGAAATTAATCAAAACCGATGAGATATTTATCTTCAAATGTATCAAAGTCGTTCATTAACAGGAGATCTTATGAATAATAAACTATTAATTGTTATTTCTGTTTCTTCAGTCTCGTTTTATCGTTTGGTCACTTTTACAACTTCAACCATTAAAACCACTTCCTGTGAGACGTTCAAAGACCAACATTTAAAACCTTAAATACTCTCAATGTTGGAAATCTGATCTTGGAATGAAACGTTTTGTTTTTTTCTAAAAAGGAGAAAAAAAGGATTTAAAAACACTCATAAATATTCAAAAAATAATCTCAGTCATCAGAAACCCAAAATAAACCGTTTAAAGTGCTGCGTTCACTACGACCGTTCACTCTCCTAAACACCAGTGGTGGGCCGTCAGGGCCTGCAAGGCCTTCTCTGCTGGCCTAAACATAATCACAAAGTTATATCTATTTTATAATTTAATAATTGTTCTTAAATACACATGTATTATAATTCATATAAATATTTTCCCATTATCTTATGTTCTCATTGCACAGCTACTGTCTTCCTCAGTTGCTCTGCTTCCAGTGCAGCTTGTTTTAAGTAGAGCTTTTATCCAATCAGATCTCACCTCTGTGTCTCTAGGTAAGAACAGAGGCAGAGGCCTGCAGACTCACAAGTGCATCCATGTGCAGTTTAAGTGAATGGGGACGATGTTGTTGATTGTCATAGTGTTCAACCAATCAGATCTTTAGTTTGACATGTTGGGCGTATTCTTTGACTATCAGAGCCTGCTCGCCGGCCTACAATGACGTCAGCATTACATGCTGTGATTGGTCAGTGGGCAATCACGTGACTATCGTGAAACGAAACTTAACAGCCAGCAGAGGCTGATGGGTAGTGAATCACATCATGTGATGCAGCTCAGCCAATCAAATATGGGCATTCTGACTGAGTGAGATGCACCATGACACAGGGGGCTGAGATGAGGAAAGACACTGCAGAGCAGTACTTACAACACTGGGATTGTGAAAGTAAAATCATAAGACGATCACTTTGGGCCGTGACTTGTCACTAAGGCGTGATGGTGGGTCCCACAGCCAGACCAGCTGAGAACCACTGTCCTCCATGAGCACAGAAAACATTATATTTTCCTGAATATAAGCTTCTGCATTTTCCAAATGCTCTACTACTATTCAAACGTATTGCAAGCCTCGTACCGAACGGTTTTATACGTACATAGTTACAGCCTTAGAAACTAATAACTGTGGCGCCATCATGTGGTTATAAGGACGTATTTCAGCTGCAGGACAACAGTGAAGGCCCAGGTATAAAATGCACCGCCCACCACTGCTAAACACACACCAGTCAAATGTGTTTGTTTGATTCTAGTTCTAGTTGTCCTTCATCCCCTTCTTCCTCACACCCTTCATTCTCCTCTTCCTCACATCCTTCATCCTCTTCTTCCTCACACCCTTCATCCTCCTCTTCCTCACAGCAGGCAGGAGATGGACACCTTGGTAGTGGAGTCGGGGACGGTGTCTGGTGAGGGACAAACATGTCAATGTACTACAAAATGTTAAATATTTTCTAAATATGGCGCTCTAATATATAAATATACATAATATTATAAGCTGCGTAATATAACAAAATATATTTTAATAATGCAGTATTAGACACTTAATATATTGTAAAAATCATTTCATCTGAACATAAATATGTCATTTAATATTAATTAAATGACATATTTAATCAACATTACATTTTAATTGATGTTAATTCAATATTTAGTTTTAATTAACATTAAATTAAAATTTTAATATTTTTGGGAGACTCTGTCGAATACAAGTCGTCTTTTATAAACAACTTTTTTCAAAATACAGATTTCTCCCCAGAAAATAATAATACAACCAATAAATATGAAGTTTAATGTTCTCACCTCTGTCCTTCAGAGAGCTGATGTACGCCTCGATGAACTCCTTCTCTCTGCTGTCCTTCTTCACCTCCTCCTCTTCCTCCTCTCTCCACCTCTTCCTCTTGTTCTTCTCCTCTTCCTTCTTCTTCTTCTCTGCACTCGCTCGGTCGCACAGTCGAATAAACCTGCCGGAGGAACAGAAGAGGCCATGACACCTGAGACAGTCTGCGTGGTTAGTGTACTTGAGGTCAGCGTGGTTTGTGTACTTGATGTCTGCGTGGTATGTGTACTTGATGTCTGCGTGGTATGTGTACTTAATGGCTGTGTGGTTGTGTTTGGTTAGTGTACTTGATAGCCATGTGGTTTGTGTACTTGATATATCTGTGGTTGTGTTTGGTTTGTGTACTTGATGTCTTTGGTTTGTGTCCTTGATGTCTGTGGTTTGTGTACTTGATGTCTCTGTGGTTTGTGTACTTGATATCTGTGTGGTTGTGTTTGATTTGCGTACTTGATATCGGGGTTTCGGCACAGTTTGGTGGGGCAGCAGGTGAGGGTGTCCCCGTTGACGACGATCATCTTGAGTGTGGAGATTTTGCCGAGACAGTGAGGCAGGTAGGACAGATTGTTCTTATGGAGGAACAAGGTGACCAGCTGCTCCAACCTGCAGACACACACACACACACACACACACACACACACACACACAGTATTAATGTGTCGTCATTTGAGTGGAACTTTGTTTTGCAACGTGCAAAACAAAAAATATAAGAGGACACATTTCAACACTTATTCTTATTCTGTCTAAGAGTGAGATGTTATGCATGGTTAGCCTAGCTTAGCATAAAGACTGGAAGCCTATTTTCTTGCTCTGCTGTCACTTGTGACCTTATATAAATGTTATATATATATATTAAATGTTCATGCATATTTAATGATGAATTGAACTTGTTATTGATTTTGTCTTGTCGGACTTTAAGACTTTAAAACTTTAAGTTTTTTAGTTTGTAGCCTCTTTAGAGATGTAAGAACTGAGAGAAAACAACTTTAAACATTTAAACTACAGAGACCAGGACATCAGACCGTTGCTGCTCAGAGTAATCAGATTACAGGTAGGTGATGATGTCATCGGTCACCTGTCCATGTCCTGCGGCAGGTCGGTCAGACCGTTGTTGCTCAAGTCCAACAGCTGCAGGCCGCTCATCCTCAGAGCACAGATGGGGATCGACATGAAGCGGTTTTCTGCAACGTCCAGGTGAACCAGCTGCTTCAGGCTGCTCAGCTGACAGTGACATCATCATCATTATCAGCACAATGACATTGCTAGTTAATCTTTCAGTGTGTCTGTAAAGTGAAATCTTTGTTACTGAAACTACCACCATGTGGGTGGATCATCGCATCCTCTCTGCTTTTACCTCAAACGGCAGATCGGACAGGTTGTGGTTTCCCGTGAGTTCGAGTCTCTTCAGGTTCTCACAGTTTCCGAGTTCTGGAGGAACTTTGGACAAACTGTTGTAGCTGACGTTTAATTCCCTCAAACCCGTCAGTTTACCTGAAGACAGAAGAGGCTGATTGATACTTTAAAAACACTTTTCTTGGTTTTTCACAAATTATTGTAAGAAGCAGAACTAAAAAACATCCTCACTGATCTCAGGTGGCAGCTCTGCGATGGTGTTCCTGTGGTTTGTGTACTTGATGTCGGTTTGGTTTGTGTACTTGATGTCGGTGTGGTCTGTGTACTTGATGTCGGTTTGGTCTGTGTACTTGATGTCGTTGGGGTTTGTGTACTTGATGTCGGTTTGGTTTGTGTACTTGATGTCTGCGTGGTTTGTGTACTTGATGTCAGTGTGGTTTGTGTACTTGATATCATTTTGGTTTGTGTACTTGATGTCGGTTTGGTTTATGTACTTGATGTCTGCGTGGTTTGTGTACTTGATGTCAGTGTGGTTTGTGTACTTGATGTCAGTGTGGTTTGTTTACTTGATGTCAGTGTGGTTTGTGTACTTGATGTCAGTTTGGTTTGTGTACTTGATGTCGGTTTGGTTTGTGTACTTGATGTCGGTTTGGTTTGTGTACTTGATGTCGTTTGGTTTGTGTACTTGATGTCTCTGTGGTTTGTGTACTTGATGTCTGTGTGGTTTGTTTACTTGATGTCAGTGTGGTTTGTGTACTTGATGTC